AGAGAGAGAGACGATGATGTGAGAGAGAAAGATGGAGTTTTGAGAGAGAGAGACGGTGATATGAGAGAGAGATGGAGTTTTAAAGAGAGAGAGATAGAGTTATTTCATAAGTTGTTAAGGTCAATAATACATGGTTAAAAGGGTATAGGGGGTTGGAAGATAGAAAAGATTGAGTCATTTAATTTAAAAATAATATTTTAAATTCTTAAGTTTGATGAGATATAAAAGTTAAAAATAGGATATAATAAGATATTTTCTTATTCCTAACTATAAATCGATGATGTATTTCTCATGCTTTCTTATTGACACTGTCAATATGTTTCATCGAAATTTTATTACTCTCTATGTCATCAAATTTCATGCATCACCTAATTATCTACTTCATCGTGAACTTGCTCTAATATTTACTCGGTGGCAGTCACTATTTCTATTTAGGGTAAAAAAATGATGGTCTCTATTTCAAATTTTTCAATTAAAGTTTCTCCCCAATATGAGACTACAAGCGGGATTTATGGAGCCTGTAAGCTTGTAACCTCTTTTTGCTACTAACCAAAATATTATCAACCCCTCCCTACAAAAAAAAAAAAAAAAAAAAAAAACAAAGGAAAAGAAAAGAAAAGAAAAGAAAGAAGAAGAAAAGAAAAGAAAGAGAAGAAGAAAAGAAAACATAAAGGAAAAGACATTAGGCCTTTCATTGATGTTTTGCTGATGGAATATAGTTAGTTGCCCTTTATACCAAAGAGAGGAAGGAACATTGCCACATGAAATCTCTTTCTTCTAGCAAAGTTGTACAAGGATACATCGATTGATGCCTTCACCCCAATCAGAGTTACATGGGACACTCCCTTTTCTTTATTTTGGTTTGTTAAGAAGATTAGGCATCCACATTGTTGTGCAAGGAATGCAGGGCAATACAAATACTTATTCGAAAAAAATCATGGAGTCTAAAGAAACCAAGTGGACCAGACCTCTTGAGTTGTGACCATACCAACTGTTGTAATATTAAGATTTTAGATAAATATAATTGTGAAAGAAATTGATTTTCTTGGCCATGCAAGATTACAAATTCAGTGTTATTGGGCTTGGATGCTCCAATAATAAATTTCCTACCCCGCAAAATGTTCATATTACCCTTGGTCAAAACCTTACTTTCTTTAATCCATTTAACCTTGTCATTTAATAGTGAGTTTGGTGATGCATCTCATTTGTTGCCAAATTAGAGAATTTTACTCTTGCATACGGACACATGTGTATGATATAGATACTAGTGTCAGAAATGAGAACCCAATAAATTGTCAATTGATATATATATATATATAAAAGAAATGTTAGCATAGGCCAAGTGGGTCTATAGCTACATATGAGCCCAACGATCCATATTGAATTGGACCGATCTAATGAACATGATTGCATTTTGTATTTAATATTTTAATTTTTTTTATAAATCTAAATCACTTAAATTTTGGAGGTGAGTATTATTTAAAAATAGGAGAATCCAATAAAAATATAAAAGAATATTTCATGGAAAATAAATTGAGTAAAACACTCTTGAAACATTTTAAGGGTATTTTGATCAATTTTTATCTTGCAATTTATTTTGTTAATATTTTTATCAAGTGCACCTTGATGAGAAAAATAGATGCTTAAAATTTCACGTGATTTGGATATGTAAAAAACAAATTAAAATTTAAATACGAAATGATGTCATGTCCGTCAGATTGGTTCAGATTGAATCTGGGTCATTGGGCTCATATGTAGGCGTACACCTACTGGTCAATGCTATTAGCATTTCCCTTTACGTGAGTGTGTAATTCATATATACATTTAAATATACTACAATTGATATGTAATAGCAATAGTAAAACATGATAACAAAAACATTATTATTTTGTCGATCTGAATTTTATTCATCAAAAATTTCTTATAGCCCCATCATGAAAAAAGCAAAAAATATTAGGCTAATTTTTAATTCAAAAAACGAGTTTTAGTTCTTATTCTATTTTTGAAAAAAATGACGGGATGGGCACTTTGAAAATTGACTTATGTTGATATGGACAGTTTTGATATCTAAGCAAGGACAATTTTTCCTATTTAAAATATGAAATTGGGATTCAAATTTTATATTTTCAAAATTAAAAATATCTTATAAAAAATGCGCATATCATAAATGACATAGGGAACCATGGACATTTCTTTCATTATTTTATTCTACAATATTTTCTGCTTTCAAAATAAAATATTATTTATTGAATAATGGTTTTTCTAACAAAAAAAAAGTCACATTCTAAAAACGAAACGTGTCAAAAAAAAGACAGTGAATGGGGATGTCGTATCCATTTCTAGAACATGCATGTCCATATTATATAAATTTTTCTCCTTGGAAATATAAATAAATTCATGAAAATATGCAACTAATACGTAGGTTGTGATTGCACGGCCATTGTGTAAAGACACTAACATGATGTTGCCCATTATAAATTTGTTGTTTATTATATTTTGAATTCATGCAAATCTACACTGGGTATTAAATTCTTAGTTTAGAGCATATTCAGCGTGCTCATGATGGAGCGCACTATTTATATAATAAGTGTTTTTTTTTGGACAAGGTTACATAGGAATTGCACTTGAAGCGTTGGGCAAGGAAAATCTTGCCTCTACCATCTCGACGCAATACCGTTTCCTATATAATATTTCGAAAATCACAAGAAGTTTATTTTTAGTAAGAAAACAGAAAACAAATTCCTAGTTCTTAATCACTTAGATCAGTCGAAATTTTAAGTGATCACTATACAATATCAGGATGTGTCTTTTTTTTTTTTTTTTTAGAGAGAGCTTCCTTTTCTTTTTCCTTTTCAGAATTATCCAGATTGGCTGAGGAGGTTATATCCGGATAAATTGAGATTCTCGGTATACTTCTAAATAAAGTTTTACCCTAGAGAGATGTACAATATGCTCCAAGGGAGAATAATTTTTTTTAGCTTTTAGTGAAGGATCAAAATATTCACTCATAGGGGTCATCACGGTCCAAACGATGGTTTGAATATTAATGGAGAAAGTGTGAGACTTACAATTGTATTCATTGAGGTAAAAAACAAAAAATAAATAAATAAAATAATATATATATATATATAGGGCAAATATGGGATTAGTCCACTAGCTTATATGAATATATGAGCGCAACGGCTCATATTAAATCTGGGTCGATCTGACGATCACGGATATCTGGTAGTACTTAAATTTTATTTTATTTTTACAGATCTTAATCACTTGAAATTTTAGGTGTGTGTTCTTCTCATCAAAGTGCACCTAATAAAAATATAAAAACAATTATCAGTGAAAAAAACAATAACCAAAATACCCTCAAAAAGTTTTAGGGGTATTTTGGTTAATTTATTTCATATAAAATATTTTTTGATATTTTTCAAAGATTCAGCTCTTTTTAATGAATACACACCTAAAATTTTAAGTGATTTGGATTTATAGAAAAAAAACTAAAATTCAAACACTATTGAACATCTGTGATCGTCAGATCGGCCCAGATT